TTTCTCTATATCTATGGACTATTGTCATGCCACTCTCAAAAATTTATAAATAGAGCCTCGCGCTCTACATGAAAGGGAATAATGAGATGGGGAGGAGTTTGGACTGGAAGTTTGGAGCTAGAACCTAAATTTTGACTTTAGATTCAAGAGACTTGTGAGGATTTAAGGGTCAAGGAGCCCCACCCAAGCACCATTGTCGAGCCAACATTTGACTATTGTCATTGATCCTTCACCAACCGACCACTATGGCCCTCCAACCACTGTTACCTGACTATTTTCCTCGGACCATCATTGCCGACTACGAATTTTTGACCATCATCAGTCGACTATGATCATTAGACCACAATCTCCCGACTACTGTCATTTGACCATGTTCACCCGACTACAATCCTCTAACCATCATTGCCTGATTATAGTACTCTAACGACCGTCACTTGGCTATGGTCCTTCAAATCTCCTTCGCCCACCGACCATAGTTCTTTGATATATGTCTCTAGCCCTCCACAAACCTTCAACGAGCGCCATCCGAACATGGTCTTTTGACCAATGTTGCCCGACTACAATTCTTTCGACCTCCATCACCTATCGAACAATATCATTTGACCTCTGTCACTCGCTAACTACAATCCTTTTACAATCGTCACATGACCATAGCCTTTCGAACATTGTCACATGTCCTTCCAGCCACCATTGTCGGATTATGATCCTCATACCACCATCACCCAACTATGGTATTCAAACCACCGTTGCTCAACAACAGTTATTAGACTACCATTACTCGACTACAATCTTCGAACCACCAGTGCCCAATTATGGTCTTTCTGACCTCTATCACCCTTCGATTACAATCCTTTGATGAAAGTTCATCAGAGGAAAGTCACCCAACCATGGTCTTCCAATCACCATCGTCATATTATGGTCCTTCGTACCACTCTTGCCCAACTATAACCCACCCAACCTTCATCACACGTAGACTATAGTCTTCTGACCCCATTGCCTAACTACAACTCTCCAACCACCATAGCGTGTTTATGATCCTTCTAACCACCATCAATCTACTACGGTCTTCAAACCTCCATCAACTGCATACCGACTACGATTCTCAAACCACCGTCGCTCAACTACAGTCGTCCGACTACCAACACATGGCCGGAGATTTATCCTTGGAATTAAAGATTATGAAGCAATGTTCGAGGCTATCAGTGCGCTCCTTACCATCCTACTCATCTTATCAGATCACTAATTCTCAACATCTTAATAATCGAAGCACCATATTTTACCACAATGTATCCAATTGACACTTGGTGGACTTGAAGTAGATTGGCATTTGGAGCTGATCTAGCCCAAACCGATTCTATTTGTTCCAATTCCATTATCAACTAAAACCAAACTAAAACTGATCTCCCAACTCTAAGCATCCAATCTCCTTGCAACTCACCAAACTAGTCTAGAGGTTGGTTGAGCAAATCAGAGAATATTTGTTCACCAATCCAACCAAACTAATTAACTAATGAGACTATGATTCAGTACTCTCTTGTAGATGCTTAAAGGTCCATTTCTCACTCTAATAAAAATTCAGATACATTATTTTATGAACCCACCACACTAACAAACAATAGAATGCATCCTAAAATATTATAAAAATATTTCTTTAAGATTTTCACTAAGAACTTTCAAGACCTTTGTCAGTTCTCAGCTAACAACCTGCCCATGCAGCACATTTTGCAGTGTTCAGCCACCAAACTTTTTCTTCTTCAAGCTTTCTGCTAATTTTATGTCATCTCTTTTTCCAACAACTTAGTTTTTATATCCAGTTTGACTTAAAATCAAAACCTAATTAGAAAGCACTATGAACATCCAAAACCAGTTGTACTTTTCAAATGAGGAAGAAGGCAAACTCCATTAAAATATATAAGAGGATATTGTAAGAAGAGGACTTAAATTCTGGAGGAGCTTAGGGCATCTCCAACCGAAAATCACATTTTTTCACTTCAAAATGCAGTGAAACTCAAAAAAGTCACGATTCATCTCCAATCGAACTCCATTTTGCTGGCTTCTACGAAGGTAACGGTCTTTATCCTCTTTGGTATGTTTCTTCAGCAAATCCAGTTGAGACAGAAAAATAACTTTGGTGAATAGTGCAACGCCAATATTGGCGTCGCACGATTCACCCGCAAGCAAATAGCGGAAGATTTGGAGTTCGGTTGGAGCGACCGAATGACATCATATGCATGTTTGATGTTCGATTGAAGATGCTCTTAGATATTGGTATTGTTTTAACAAGTAGATGATCTCCTTCACTGAGTTCTTCCATATCCATATATAAAGAGCTATTACAAATATTTAAATAACTGGAAATATGGAACTTTTCTTAAATGGCCTCAAAACAAAGAGACATGGCTACCCCATTGTCTTTTAACAAATATTTTTCAATAAATTCATCATCAATATATATCATCCCTCCTCTTTAATTGCAAGAAACAAGAAAGCTAATTAATTGATCACCTAACATAATTATATTTCTATATGGTACACAAAAACTTTTTTAGCCTCATCATCATTAGTTGCAGAAAGAATAATTGGTGGAGGAACATCACCTACAAAGGTAGTAGATATGTGGAACATAAATTAATAACTAGTCTACTATTTCTTGATAAAGACTCCTTCATTTCAGAATATTTTTGTGGTCCAAAATTGATGTTTATTGTTTCTGAACATAAAAAAATGAATCCCAAGCATATATAGGAGGAGGATTAGCCTCATAAGGATAGCCTAATAACAAAGATAAATGAGGAAGAAAGGCAAATAATTTGCTCTTAAGGCCCTAAGGATAGCTAATTAATTAATTATGTGTGGAAAGGAATCTTGGGGTTTTAGGTATTTGACAAGTAATGGATGTTGACCCTCCAACAAGGGCAGAATACCCAACCAAACCTTTTGAATGGAGGGATTAAGAAATAAAAAGACAAGTGGGGGTCATTATTGTTAGAGTTTTAGTTTAGAAAGAGGAGATTAAAAGATTAGATAAATATGCAGTGTTTACATAGCTTATAAAAGGGAAGGCATGTTGTTAATATAAATTGACACTTTCAAGCATTAAAAAGAAGCTTGATAAGACCTCATCAGCTTAATTATTGCTCAAAAAAAATTTTAAAATAGTTTTATATAATGAATAAATAAAATAATAACAAAGATGCCAAATATCAGAAGAAAAAACAAAGAATTAGGTAATTTGGCCAAAATTATAAGTTTATGTGAAAGCGGAATCAAGTCGGTATAAAAAAATACATGACTGTACAAATAAAATTGAAGCAAAAATAATTTCCTTAAGTCCAAATATAATCAATCTTGAAAAAAAAAAAAAGAGAAATTCTCACCTCTAAAGATTATACTAATTATTAAGAGATAATAAACAATAATAATAATAATTACATAAATTATCCATTTAAAAGTTTCTCAAGAGAATATATTCTAATATGTTTAAGGAATTGCCACATAATTTCAAATATATTTATAGCTTTGAATATCTCAAGAAAGTACAAAAGAGTCCCAACAAAATTTTATTTTCTGCTGTTCTATTTTGGTATCTCACTTCTCTTTTCTTTATTAATCCAACAGTTCTCTGTGTTTTTCAATTCCAGGTCAATACATTCGCAACAACAAAGGTTTCTCACTTTCAACAGATACATTTAGACTTCGTTTGAAACGATTTTTTTACTGTTTTTTGAAGCAATGTTTTAATATAAAAATAAAAAGATTTTATACTTAAAAGTCATTTGAAAAAATAGTAAAAAAATCATCTCAAAAGAAGCTTTAGTAAAAAAATTTACATATAATTAAGCTATTTCACCAAAGATTTAGGAATTTAAGCAAACACTATGTCTTCACTAATCATCTTATTTTCAGGTGGCAGGTCATATTCGATCTTAAGTAGCCTATTCTATTTTTTTTTTTTACTCCAATAGCTTATTATTGCTTTTATCTTGTTTCTGGACTCCATATTTATTCTCTGCTTTCTTTTTTCTACTCCATCTTTCCTTTTTTAAAGGAGAAATTCAGAACATGTATGATGACAGTTAGAAATCAGATTATACTCATGAAGAAATGGATTCAAATACATCTATTTGTAATAACTAGATCAAGCTCAACACTAATTGCTTTGGGATTTTGATTAAGCAGATTCTGTTAATCTTTATCAGGGTTCGTTTGATACGGCTTTCTTTCTGCTTCTTAAAATAGTTTTAAAGTACAAAGTTTTAATTTAAAATTGCTTTAAGAAGCAGAAAGAAAACCGTATCAAACGAAACCTCACTCTATGAATAACTAAATTCACACATCTGTTTGCACAAATTTCCTTCATGCAACAGTGAGGGTGACAAAGAACCCCTCTTTAGCCTTCTGAACAAAATGACAGTGAAGATGAACTACTTCCTGCGGCAGCAAGCTCAGAGTAGAGATATGATGGTCTCTTTCTTACTCTTAGGAAAGCGAAATGGCTCATTTATTGGAGGTGACTTGAGAAATTAGTATAGAATATATATACGAATTAAAATTTTGAAAATTGTTTAGGTCTCTATCTTTCTAGATAGTAAAGAATATTGGTCAAATAAGTAATGATAAATATTGGTCAATTATAAATAGGCGCTTACAATATGCCTTGTATTTTTTAAATATGCAGAAAAAAAGTCGTATGTGACACCGATGGAGTCATATAAATTTACTGTTTTGATGAAATGAGAGACCTGTTCCACTTACCAATTTATATAAAATAAAATCAAATTGGGGAGTATAGATTCTCATTAATATGAGGAGATCAGAAAATTTAAAAAATTAATCAGAATTTGTGAATATAAGCCGAAATACTCCTCTTACTTAGTGGTAGTTTTGATTAGGACTTATAAAGCTGTAATGAAAAGGATAATCAAGTGCTAAAAAGTGAAGGGAGTGGAGTTGGAGTCAGTGATTCTAGAGGTTCCTGTAAAAAAACTCTAACTTTCCTTATTTCCTCTCTTAGACTTCTCTTTCTCTGTCCCTCTAGTCCACTTTTGAGACAGTGACTCAAGGGAAGGAACTTTATGTATCCGATATGAATTCCTGGCTTGAATTATTACTGAGGTGACTTCAACTACAGAGAGAGAGAGAGAGAGCGAAAGGGGAGGGAGGGAAGGAGAGAGAGAGAGGGAGCCATGAATGGTCAGGGTCCAAATCAAATGATTCAGTGATTTAAAAGGTGCCTCTATTCCCTGACTATATTTGAAAGCAAGCAGTTTCTAGCTAGCATGGTTGGAGGTTCAGTCGATTGAGAGGACTTCCCTGTTCTCTGAGACTGTTCACTTGAGGTTTTATGGAGTCAACTTCTTCAACGCGATCCTTTCATTCAGGGAACTGAACTTGTATTTGTGTCTTCTTCATTCTTTAATTTGTTTTTTTTTTTCCTCTTTCAGCTAAGGAAGAATTGGGCTTGATGAGAGCTGAGAGTAGAATCAACAAACACAGCAAGTGTTGAACAAGATGGACCGGATGTCTGATCATAGAGTTGGTGAAACTGGTCTTTCGGATTCAGGACCTTCAAACCAGCCACTAACTTATGGACTTCATGGATTCTCCCCTGCGGGCACCAATTTCTTGTAATAATCCTTAGCTTTCTTATTGTTTCTTCTTGTATTCTTCCTTCACTTCATATCTGACCTCAAGTTCTCTTTTTTATATCAAGCTTTTAAGATTGTTTGCTATTTACATGATCAAGGTGATTGTTTGCATGCAAGATTCAAACGATCTTTGCAAAACTTCTTCCTGTTTGTTTTTGCACTTTTATGCTCCCTTCTCTCTCTCTCTTTCTCTCTTTCTCTCTTTCTCTCTTCCCCCTAATAATTTGTTTTTTTTACTAAAAGCCAACTTTTCTATCGATTCACCGTCAATAATGGCATAAACTTCTTCGCACTACCAAAGTCTTCAATCTTATCCATATGAGGATATTTCCTCCTTTCCTAAAGTCACTGTTTTTAATAGTATAATTTATTTGACACTTTCATTTAGTTTCTCTGTTTTTTATTTTTTGTTTTTTGTTAAGTCTTCCATGGTTATCTCCCCTCCAATTCCACCTTGTAAACCAAATGATCAACCTTGTTCGCTTGTTCAGTGATCAGGAAGGAGCTGCTTATTTTGAGGAGCTGGAGGAGGCACTCATGCAAGGAGTTGTTGGAATTAGAAGCGACGGAGACACAAAGAGTAATCTCTCTCTCTCTCTCTCTCTCTCGATCTCTATAGCTTTCTATCTTTCTCTCTCTATAGCCATGAATAGTTCCAAAAATCACAACCATTTCATGTTCTGAAAAAGGAGATGACAGAGGTTTGAAATGGTCTTTCACGCAGGGATCACATGTGGTGTGATCGATCACTCACTCCTCACTCCTAGCTCTACTAACTCTCTGCACTATTTTAGGGAAAAGGAATAAGTTCCTTTAGGAGAACACTGACAACTGAGCTTTCATTTATCTCTAATAAATGCCTCAGCTTTATTTGATCCCTCTGCATCTCCCCTCTTCTTGCAGCCTATCTCACAACTAGGCCCCCCACTCTTGAGATTTTCCCATCGTGGCCTATGAGATTTCACCATAACACTGTGGTACGCTTATGTCTTTACTTTTTCTCACTCATTTTTTACTGCTCGGTAAACATAGAACTTCATAGTTTCAATATTTCTTTTACAGCAGTAAAATTTACTGATAAAAATTTAATTTTGATCACTGAAGAAGCAACCCTCCTATAAGAAATTCCTCATGAAAATAAAATTTCCATGAGAGGGATACTATGTGTTTTGAACTTTCGATGGCATTTCTTGTCATTATATTCTATAGGGGAATTCACAATCAGCAGAGAGCAGTGATTCAGGATCAGCACAGAACACAATATCTCAGCTGGAATCAGAATCTCCAGTTAGCAGAAAGGACGATTACTCTGAGCTATTTACAGAGCAGCAGCAGCAACAGCAACAGCAGCAGATGATTCCCAGTGATGGCTCTAAAACTGAAATAGGAACAGCAGGAAATCATCAATCCAGAGATCAAGACAAGGTACTATTTTCAAACTATTCTTATCTTAGTCTCTATCATTAGCTGGTTCAGATTCCCAAAACCCCATTACTGGAAAGCCAACAGCTCAGATATCAAGAAATTAATCTGCATCTACTCCTTTGTTTGGATATATTTGACTAAAATCCTATACTTGTAATGTTACCCTTTTACATACAGTTTTTTGTCAACACAGGTCCCAATGGAGGACAACTTCTTTTAAGCTTTTCCGACTTATACACAGACCTTTGAATCCCACCAAGCCCAAAAGAAGCCACTGTTCATGGATTTCTATAGACAGCTCTGTAATATGTTCTCTGATAGCTAGCGTCCAAAATTGCAACTGCTGCTAACCTTGCAATTTTCCCTTCTTTCCTTCTCAATCTTTTCCTTCTATTACCTCTCTTCCTTTTACTTATACTGGAAAAAATTGAGAGGCAGAGCTCAATTTACCAACTAAAAGTCTAAAAGAATGTGTGAATTCCAAGAAGTCTTTTTTTTGTGAGGCTAGCGGCTTGTTCTAGTTGGACTTGGCCTCCTCAAAATTATTACTTGGGCGTTCTGTTTCTTCCGGTGATCAATAAAAATGCTTCACGTCGTCTCAAAAATGTACCGCATTCGATACCGAGCATGAACCCTGATAGGAGAACCGCCCGGTATCCTAATAATTGCTCCTTAGAAGAGCATACGTTCGAAGTCATATATTTGTGAATTTTCACTGAACTTTACAAAGAAAAGGATTGTCAAAGAACCCGACCTACAAAATCATTTCAAAGCCTATGAGACATAAAGCAAGACCTCCACCAAATAATAAACAACAAGCATAAAAAGATTGTCAAAGAAACCGAGCACAGGACCACAATAGAAGCTGGAAAGCCAAATGCGTCAAACCAGCCGAGCTCTTTTTTCTTGTACAGTTTTCATGGAAATATAACATAACAAACCACATTTTCAGTAAATTTTATATTCTTTTCTCTTTCTGTTTTCTTGGGGATTGCAACATTAATTGAAAGAGTAAAAAACTAAAAATACTAAGTAAAATCTTTGTAGTAAAAAATTGCTTAAAGAAACAGTAATTTTCCTTTCTTCATGTACTATATGGACTTAAAAATACTAATTCTTTATGCACTTTATTTGCTTTAGAGGAGGCTGACTACAGAAAAAGATGGAAGGAACCTGGATGCAAAGGTCATGCAAACTCCCCCTCCTCTCTCTCTCTCTCTCTCTCTCTCTCTCTCTCTCTCTCTCGTAGGACCTGAAAAATTATAAATAAATATGCATAGAAACATGATGAGTTTATCAATGAGCAGGCACGCGCCTATGATGTGCATGAAATGCACTAATGCTCATGATACATACATATATGATTCCACATAAATGTTGGAAAGCTCACATGCATTTTCATTTTCGTGTTAATCCATGCATGCATGACGAATTACTGATCATGCCCATCTCTCTCTCTCGCTCTCTACATGTATGTATATATATACTTGTTTATATTAATTGCAGACATTGAGAAGACTGGCTCAAAATAGAGAAGCAGCTAGAAAGAGTCGGCTAAGAAAGAAGGTCGGATTTTTTATTATTATTAATCAAATTCAAAGTAGGACAAATCCTTGTAATATATTAATGAAAAAAATAATAATTTTTTTTTATTTTTAATTATCTCTACAGGCATACGTGCAGCAACTAGAAAGCAGTAGAATGAAGCTTGCACAGCTAGAGCAAGACCTTCAGAGAGCACGATCACAGGTTCAATAATCAAATCAAACAAACTAAAATAGCATTTAATGTAAAGCAATAATTTTCAAAATTGATCCTCTTATACTTAGGAACCACAATACTAATGAATTTTATTATAACTGAGTGTGTTTAGGGTCTCTTAATACCAGGAGCAAGCACAAATGGAGGTATAAGCTCTGGTAACTAATTACAAAACTTACCTTAGCTCAAATTTAATTAATTTATTTATAAGTTAAATCCAACTATCGTACAGAAAATCGCTAAGAACAAAGACATTAATGCAGGTGCAGAAATCTTTGACATGGAATATGCACAGTGGCTGGATGAGAACTATAAGCACATGGCAGAGCTGCAAGGAGGCTTACAGGCCCATCTTCCTGACGGCAACCTTCGAGTCATCGTCGACGACTGCCTCAAACACTACGATGAGATCTTCAGATTAAAAACTATCGCAGCAAAATCCGACGTCTTCCACCTCATCACCGGAATGTGGACTACTCCGGCCGAGCGTTGCTTCCTTTGGATGGGCGGTTTTCGTCCCTCTGATCTGCTCAAAGTAGCCATCTTAATTAAACAAACTCTAAAGTTTTTGTCTTTATTCGGAAGAGAGAAAATTTATCTAACAGATTGATCGTTTTACTTTCACGTATAGATTCTTATGCCTCATTTGGATCCATTAACGGAGCAACAGTTAGTGGGATTATGCAACCTTCAACAATCTTCACAGCAAGCGGAGGAGGCTCTTTCACAGGGACTGGAGCAGCTCCAGCAATCATTAGCTGATACAGTGGCGAGTGGCTCGCTAAGTGAAGATCCAAAGGTCGGGAATTATATGGGACAGATGGCAATGGCTTTGGGAAAGATAGGCAACCTCGAAGGATTTGTTCGGCAGGTTCTTTCTTATCATAATCATCATCATTTTCTTCTTCTTCTTCATCATGACAATCAATCAGCTAGCTATAGCAGCTGCTGCTACTACTACCAATAATAAAAAAATTATTGGCTAGCTAGAAACGACAACCTCCTGAAAGTTAATTAATAAACAAATCATTGTCACTAACTGCCTTCTTAACACTAATGCACTTCCCTATCATGGCCGGTCTAGTGGTTTATTGAATAAAGGGTTCCCACTAATCCACTTTTAATTTCTTTCATGCATATGGATGTTTTTAATTGAAAAGTCCTTGCCTGAGTAAACCTAGAACATAGCCTGGGTTGAGCGTAGTTAAAGGATCAAATATATTGACAATGAAATAAGTAAGCTTCCATTCGCTGGCTCGCTGCTACATGAGAAATTATTTTGTGCGAACGCCGAACGTAGTACACCGTCCGGAAATCAACCAGAATGTGCCACATCAACAGTACCGAGCACGGTACCAAGCTGAAGTATCGAGCTTGAGTGATGTGGCACATTTTTGTTGGTCTCTGGACGAGCGAACAACGTTCGGCTTCTGCATAGAATAATTTGCCCTGCTACACAATTCCTCCATGTTTTTTTTTTAATCTTTTTTTTTAGTAATGATATTTCTTTTTTATTAAAAAAGAAAAGAATGGTTAATGATATGAAAAAGGTTAAATATTCTGATAGTTTACTAGTAGTCTACGATAAGGAGTCATTTTGGCGGTTCCTTCAGGCCAAGAACAAAGTATCTAAGGATAAAATCCACCAAGATTAACCTAAACACATCTTATATATTCTTGATAAATAATCAAAGTATCTCTTTGAAAAAACAAAAAGAGAAAGACAATTAGTTAGAAAATATTACAAATTAGAACTAATTATTTACATGCAAATAAGGACAACTAATCCTAATATTAAAACATCATATTAATACTAGTTTATTATTCTTAATTGTTAAGAAATTTCAAGTGATCAAGTGAATATTTTTAATATCTTAGTTTTATACAAAGATCCAGCACACCCAAATAAAATTTGCTAGAAACGATCAAATTTTTTTTATGTGAAAAAATAAAAAAGAGGAAAAGTCATAGACCTTGACCTAGTTTTAATAGTTCACTATATAATTAAAGATGTAAGAGTTCATTCTACCGAACAAAGATGACGGGATTATATAATTGAGAACAATTGTCTGATTCATACTATAGGGATGATTGAAGTTGTTTATTGCCGAGAAAATTATACAATGCTAATTGATCAAGAGTAATGTGACAGAGGTTGAGTATTCATAGTTGGACAGTTGAAGTTAATTAATGAGATTATATGTTAGTAAGCAGGTAGAGTGGTGGTTGTTAATGGTGATCGTTGAAACCAATTATTTAACAGTGAAATAGAGTTCATATATCTCAACCATTAAATCTCATCTATGTAGAAATTAATGGGGTTTCTATTTATAGATTTTTGAAACATAAATTTTGACAAATTTGGCCATAATAAAAAATACTTAACTAAATAGTCGATATTGATCACTTTGATCATAAATCATTTATGGGTATCTTCGGCTCTTGGGTTCATCTTGTTGATTCATTCTATTTGACTATAAACACACAAAATTAAAAACCGTTTGGTCCTTCAATTAATATTCTAAAGTTTTCATTTTGACTCAGGTAGTATCGGGTAATGTATGTTAAATTCATCTTATCGTTTAATTAGACTAAAAGTTTATTGAAATTAAAGTTTAGATCATTTCGAAGTTAATTCTAGAAAATTTTAATATAAAATAATGTATCAAGATTTATGTGGATCAAGTGAAATTTTTAAAGATACATATGTAATGGCATTATTATTGATTATGTTGATAAGTCTTAGTAGTAATATCATTGTTTCAAGAGAAAAATCTTAATAGCATTGCCAAACGTCAATAATCATAGTATAAAATTAGGGAAAGATGATCTTGCTTCTGAAATGAAAAAATACTCATAAAATTAATATCACTCATAGCCTCTATTACCAATTGACTAGAAATCTCAAATGACATTAAGACCTACAATGCATTTAGTTAAGATTTCATTTCGAACATTTTTTTTACTCCCATGTAAAGTTGTTTTAGTGAATGTAAATTTTTAAAGCTGCTATAGAAAGCAGCTTCTTTGTGCAATTTTTTTTAAGCAGCGAAAAAATAGTAGCCAAATGAAAATTATCGTTATGAACTAAAAACATAGCAGTAAAAAAATTATCACAAATGAAGCATGCGTCAACTTTCTTACTGAATCAGCTTTCTAGTAAAAAAACTTTTAAACATAAAAAATTTTAACTAGAAAGCAGCTTTAAAAAGCAGTAAGAAAAATTGTCTCAAATGAAACCCTAAGTCTACTAAGCAAATTTTTACTCATGTTTAATTAGGTTGAGTACAAACACCTTCATTTGTTCGAGCCCTTCTAATATAGTTCTATCTAATATCTTTTTTAAGTCTTCGTTTGGAACTGCTTTCATCCTGCTTCTTAAAGCAATTTTTTAATACGAAAATTAAAATTTTTGTGCTAACAAGCTGCTTTAATAAGCAGAAAAAAGCCATCGCAAAGTAAGTCGAAATCACTTGAATTCTTTAAAAACCCCTATTTTGTTCACTAGCACAACCCCATCATTATAACCTTCACGTTTTCAATATTTTCCCCTCTTAAAAAGTTGGCGAAGTTGCTCTCCTTCTATAGATGCTAGACAATGACATCACAACCTAACCACCTAAACCTTGCGTAAGGCCAATCTCCCACACTTTAATAATAGATCCTCCTATAATTAATTAATTAATTATGTAATTAATTTGTCACTATTTGTTTGCCAATTTGCAAAAAAAAATAAACGAAATCATCGTTTATGAAATTAAGAAAGCAAAAATTTATGCAATTTAGAGAAGAATTAAGGTGACAACTGCAAAAATAATGGAAAAAACAAGAAAGAGTCCTCACAGGCATGGCTATGAGGGGCCCTAGTGTAAATATTTTTTAATAATAATTAATAAAATTAAAAAAGAATATTATCCTTTCACGTTTTATAAAAAAATAAATATTTTATTGAAAATATTCTTGTAATTTATTAATTGTTTTGGGCTTGTGTCAGGCTGATAATCTAAGACAGCAGACGCTTCACCAACTGAGGCGTATTTTGACAATTCGACAAGCTGCAAGGTGTTTTCTGGCAATTGGAGAGTACAATAGCCGATTGCGTGCGCTCAGCTCGCTTTGGTCTTCGCGGCCTCGAGAGTAAGCTTTCATATATATAATTTCTCTTTAAGATTTTATTTGAGATGATTTTTTTATTATTTTTAAAACATTTTTTTAGTTCGAAAGTTTTTGAATTAAAAATTTGTTTTAAAAAGCAGCAAGAAAGCCGTCTCAAATGAAATCTAAGGATTCATTTGGGACGGCTTTTTTATCGATTCTTAAAATAGTTTTTTTATTTAAAAATTAAAATTTTATACTAAAAAGTTGTTTTAAAAATCAATAAGAAAGTCGTCCCAAACGAAATCTAAATTTGATAATTACTATTGGATTATAGTTAATTTAAGTTTTTTATTATGATTAGTTTACATTTATTTTAAGATAAATATAATATACTAATTAATTAATTGCACCTATGAACTCTTAGATACCCACTTAGGTGGATCACACCAAGCCATTAAGATAGAAAAAGAGATAATGATCTCTTTGATTCTTTACGAAGGATCCAAATGGTTTTTAATTATTTAAAAGTTTTATTTTTGACTTCGTTTAGGATGACTTTCTTCAACTTTTTAAAACAGAAGAAATCCATTTTAAAAAGCAGTATCAAAGCTGTCCCAAACGAACCCTTAGTCCATTAATTTTTTTGCATAGAAAAATATATGATTTTAGAAAATGATTAATTTGATTACTATTTAAAGAATTAAGAGACAAAGTTGATAGTTTAATAGTCTGATTATTTTGATCATTTGATCTTTTCTACATAGAAAAATATAAATGCAATGTGTTTTCTGTTTTCTTTAATACAAGAAATAAATTTTTGAAAAGTTGTGTGTGTTTGGGCAAAATTTAAGAAATTATGATTGGAAAGATAAAATTTTAAAAAATTTATTGTGTATTTTATAAGTAGCCTACCAAAAATAAGATTTCATAAAATTTAGTTGTTTCATTTAAAAAATAAATAAAATTATTTATAATTAGCCCATTTTATATTAAAATAAAATAAGTAATAATATTCATTTCATTTATTCAGTCATTACTATAATAATATAAATTTCCATTTCTCCTTCGTAAATAATAATTAGCTAACCTTAATATCTGTGCAGGAACTCGATAGCCACTGAGAACTCTTTCGCTCCAGCTACAAGCCTTCAAATCCTTCAACAACCAGTTGATGCTCATTTTTCAGTCTTCTGACTTCAAATCTTACACTGTGAAAATGCCTAGAGGTACATAGAGAGAGAAGGAGAGAGAGAATATGAGAGAGAAAGAGAGAGAGAGAGAATATGAGAGAGAAAGAGGGTCAGAGAGAGAGAGAGAGGATCATAAATTCTTCCTTGATTATACTTAGCTAGAAAGAGAGAACATTGGAAGGGATTTATGATAATTTGGAAGAGTAGGGGAAGAGGCATTTTCTCATTAGGTGTGGAGACTTAGCTAAGGAAGATGTGTATTCTATTTTGGATGAGTAATTGCAAGGGGCTTTCTTCATTTCCAATTAATGAACTCAACGGCTCATTTAATTAGTTGTTGGATTTCGACATTTTGAAGCAATTACAAATTAAAATTAATTTTAAAGCTTCATAGTTTCATAGAAATCATGATTTTATTTTCGTAACTTAAGAAAATTAATTATTTTCCTATGAAGATTTTTCATTTTTTATTTTACTTAAACCTGGTTAAAATAGTTTGACTTTCATGAAATTTGTATAATTGTGTTAAATATCCCTAGCTTGCAATAGTAGTGAAGGTTGACATTAATACACATGGATTGAAATGTTCCCTTACTTTGATGGAGGGAAGAGAGTGAATGACTTGAGTGGCAAGTAACAACAGGCGATTGATCAGCCCTTTTATTTGAAGGAGTTAGAATATAATAACTTAAACTAAGAGAGCGATTGGATGTTGTCGAGACAATCATCTTTTTTTTTTTTTTTTTTGGATAAAATTTACATATATGGGCTTATGCATTGATATAAAAGAGATTACAAGTCCTTATATAATCACTAGCCCTCTAAAATAGAGTAATTGAAATAAAACCTATGAGCCTTTGATTCAATCTATACAATAACCAAGCAATGAAAAGAAGATCGAACAACGAACAGGTCCTCTAGATGACTGTAAAGCCAACGATGACTCGAAGCAAAGCAGGCAACCCAAGCAAGGCACCCCAGAAAAGACAACAACAGACCAACCAACAGAAGCATTAAAAAAGCTACAAAAAGAGAGACCAAACTAAACAAGGCAAAAAAAAAAAAACTTACAACCAATAAGGACCAACCAACCAGAAGCCCCAGAGAACAAGAACACACGAGCTCCAAGTTGCAACAACGTTATATTGAAGGAAACAAAATAAACAGGAATCAAACAACAGAAACTACACCAATTGAGCAAGCATAGAGAGAGAACTCCAACATCCGACCCCCAACTTAACACCCTAGCCAAACCCAAACCCAAACAGCACAACCGACAACCATCACAGCCGATCCTTACACCTAAAACACATCCAAGCAAAAGAACAACACCCAACAGGAAAGAAAACAAACGTACAAGAACCCCTAGCCGACTGAGCACACCAACCAAAATTCAAGGAAACAACCAAGAGAAGGCCAACAAAAGCAGATGCAAAACAATCTTTCTCCTAAAGATAGAAAGTACTAGGTAGCTTGAAGCAAGCGAGTTAGACGGATTTGGGAACACCTGCGGATGATTGACAAGTGAAGTGAATGAAAATGAGAGAGAGAGAGAGAGAGAGAGAGAGAGAGAGAGAGAGAGAGAGAGAGTGTGTGAATTGATATTATTTTTATTTTTATTTTAACTAATTAAACATGTGAGATATAAAATATAAAAATTCAAAATCAAGGAGAAAGAATTTTTTTTTGTCTTTCATTAAATCAGCATAAAATAATAAATAAAATCTAATATATGTAAACAACAAGATAATTTTAATGATAAGTAATTAGCAACTTTGTTTAACTAGATCTTACAATATTGTTGCGTCCAGGAGTATTCGCGGCGGTAGAAAAATATAAAGTTTAACGTCTTAGCGTTGTATGAAGATCCAACACGCAAACAGATATGATATAAAACACAAATATTTTTACGTGGAAACCCTGGAAAGGGAAAAACCACGGGGCCACATCCAGTTGAGAGAATTCCACTAGTGTTTACTTGATGTACAAGAGGCCGGTTGACTCGTCCTTGAAATTTAGGACGATTAGATTACAATGATCCACTCCTAGATTGAAATCTAGTTACAAACAGGAATTTGAGATTTGATGATGTCGTGTATTCGAGCTGAATCTCATAGTCACTTGTAGATCAGACAGAATTCTGGCGTCACTTGGAAGTTTGGCGGAACAACGGCGTCACTTGGAATTCGGATGAAACTCCCACTATAGGAAAAACATCATTTTTTGGTAGCCATTTTCGTCAGAAAAATAGCTAAAATCCGTCAGAAATTACCATTTCCGATAGTAAAATGCGCGTCGAAAAAGACCTTCCAGCCTTAAATATTTCGTCGGAAATATTTTTGACGAATTTCCGGGAAAAAATTCGTTGGAAACATATTTCCGGCTGATTATTTTTGTCAACTTGAGCAGCGCACCCCACTTTAGCTAACCCGAGCAAGTCCCCCAAGCCAGCCCACGCGCCCCACTCCTCAGCCCGCCCACCACTAGCTAACTCGAACAGCCCACCCAAACTACTTCACTGCGGCCCAACCTCGCTAGGAGACAGTGGACCCGATTATGCCCACCTAGCTAGCGCCATGCGGGCGCCTGCGGCGTCACTTGAAAGTCGGGCAGAACTCCGAGGAGTGATTTGGATGGACGGCCGATATTGTCCATCTCTTAAGTTCATCCATTGACCACAAGTAATGAAAATCACAAGCAAAAACAAGTAAAATATAGTAAGATAATGTCTAAGAGAAAATTGGGGTGTAAACTAATTTTTCCTTCAATCAATTATTTAGTTTTTTTTTTTTAAACTAAACCTTATTTAAATTTTAATTAACTGCTTAAACAGCCCAAAAAAAGTAAACTAGCCACGGGCGATTTACCCTAATCACTTTATCACTTGTGAAACCTTTTGTTTCCCTTGCCCTAATCACAAAATTGCTCTCCATTCAGTTTCGTCAAATTAATCTGGCAATCTGCTCGTGCTAGATAAAGCGGTATAGAATATTATAATTCTAATATGGATAGTTTGAATCTTGTGGTTAAACTATTCATATTCTTCTTCCTATTTAGGCACTATCATGTAGCATATATGAGGGGGATAGCTGGTGTGAGAACCTTCGTGACCTGCAAGAACACAGAAAACAGAGAAAAGAAATAGAGAAATAGAGAAAGGAAGAACAGGGGAAGAAGAAGGTTGGAGGTAGGAGAAATAGCTTCAGCTTTCCGTATATCATTTTCTACCCGAATACTCCTCCTTTCTACTACATATATCCTCCTCTTCTATTAGAGAAATAACTATGAAAAGAAAATGCTGAGCTGGCCACTAGACTGGCATATAGCAGAAAAGAAACAGAGAATATTCTTAGTACTAAAGATAATTTGGGGAAGTGGAGGTCGTAGGTAGTTAGCGGTCAGATGTGATGTTCCGTGGGACCTGGATAACTCACATCACACCCTAACCAAACCCAAACCCAAACAGCACAACCAACAACCATCACAGACGATCCTTACACCTAAAACACATCCAAGCAAAAGAACAACACCCAACAGGAAAGAAAACAAACGTACAGGAACCCTAGCCGACTGAGCAAACCAAACAAAATTCAAGGAAACAACCAAGAGAAGGCCAACAAAAGCAGATGCGAAACAATCATTCTCCTAAAGATAGAAAGTACTAGGTAGCTTGAAGCAAGCGAGTTAGACGGATTTGGGAACACATGAGGATGATTGACAAGTGAAGTGAATGAAAATGAGAGAGAGAGAGAGAGAGTGTGTGTGTGAATTGATATTATTTTTATTTTTATTTTTATTTTAACTAATTAAACATGTGAGATATAAAATATAAAAATTCAAAATCAAGGAGAAAGAATTTTTTTTTTGTCTTTCATTAAATCAGCATAAAATAATAAATAAAATCTAATATATGTAAACAACAAGATAATTTTAATGATAAGTAATTAGCAACTTTGTTTAACTAGATCTTACAATATTGTTGCGTCCTGGAGTATTCGCGGCGGTAGAGAAATATAAAGTTTAACATCTTAGCGTTGTACGAAGATCCAACACGCAAACAGAGATGATATAAAACACAAATATTTTTATGTGGAAACCCTGGAAAGGGAAAAACCACGGGGCCACGCCCAGTTGAGAGAATTCCACTAGTGTTTACTTGATGTACAAGAGGCCGGCTGACTCGTCCTTGAAATTTAGGACGATTAGATTACAAGAATTTGAGATTTGATGATGTCGTGTATTCGAGCTGAATCTCATAGTCACTTGTAGATCAGGCAAAATTCTGGCGTCACTTGGAAGTTTGGCGGAACACCGGCGTCACTTGGAAGTCGGATGAAACTCCACTATAGGAAAAACGTCATTTTCTGGTAGTCATTTTCGTCGGAAAAATAGCTAAAATCCGTCAGAAATTACCATTTCCGATAGTAAATTGCGCGTCGAAAAAGCCCTTCCAGCGTTAAATATTTCGTCGGAAATATTTCTGACGGATTTCCGGGGAAAAAATTCGTTGGAAACATTTTTTCACATTTTTTCGGTGGATTATTTTTGTCAACTTGAGCAGCGCACCCCACTTTAGCTAACCCGAGCAAGTCCCCCAAGCCAGCCCACGCGCCCCACTCCTCAGCCCGCCCACCTCTAGCTAACTCGAACAGCCCGCCCAAACTAATTCACTGCAGCCCAACCTCGCTAGGAGACAGTGGACCCGATTATGCCCACCTAGCTAGCACCATTCGGGCGCCTGCGGCGTCACTTGAAAGTCGGACGGAACTCCAAGGAGTGGTTTGGATGGATGGCCGATATTGTCCATCTCTTAAGTTCATCCATTGACCACAAGTAATGAAAATCACAAGTAAAATATAGTAAGATAATGTCTAAGAGAAAATTGGGGTGTAAACTAATTTTTCCTTCAATCAAAACTTATTAGGCACTAACGCGTACATCAACGCCATGAGCCCTACAACCCAAAAGCCACCATTACTCTCTTTTTAGTCACCATTAGGCTGAGAAATCTCTCCTCTTGATAAATAATGGAGAAATCATATTCTATCTTCTTCTTCAAACGAAAAGTCTACTACGTACTCTAACCCATTGGCAATCCAATAAATAAACCAAAGCAATCTTTGAGATCTCATAAGTCGAGGGGTGAAACCAAGAAGAATTCAAGGTGGGCAGTTACCCCTCATGCATTTTTTTCGTAGAAGAATAAATATTTTAACTATTTTGTTCATCTTTAATAAATACAGTTACCTAAAATTCCAAAAAAAAATTATTTTTTTCAATTTCATACATAAAATTAATATTT